CCAAATGCCTAGTTACTATAAATTTAACATATTAAAAGTTATATTTGTATTTTTTTAATGGGGTAAATTGTTTTAATATTTTTTATAAAATAAAAAATTCACCTTAATTATTTGATATGATCACAAATTTATATTGAAATCTTCAATTTTATTTTTTTAGAAAACACATAAAAATCAGTTTAATTTGATATGATTAAATCATTTTTAAAAAAAAATCATTGAGACTTGTAATGCATTTTTACTAGTTATTCTCTAGTCTATATATCTACCCCTTTGAGCTCTCCTTACAAGTTCCTTCTTAAAACAGTAAAGTACATCTATCAAATTATCGATTATGACATGGAGTTCTGATATTCCCTCCCTTTAATTTATTTGTTTTAGTTGATATTGATTTGATATGAAGATTAAGAATTTTTATTGTTTTTATTAATAATTTATATATATTTAATTAAATTTATCTTAAGAAAAAGGCGGACCGTTGTACTTGATTCTGTTTGTATGTTGGACTATTATACTTACGATTTTGTCAACTGGACCCTTAAACTCGATGAAACACCATATATTAAACACATTTAACCATTGACTGAACACATGTCACATTAATATTGCTGACTTAGAACGATGCGTAATTTCACGCGTTTTAAAGCAAGTATGTATAAAATTTATATGAAAAAAAACATTAAAATTTAAAAAATAAATAAATGAAAACACTCAAAAAAAAGAAAAGGGATATCATCTTCTTCAAAGCAACCTATCGCTGCTTCCCCCCACCCCACCCCCACCCCAATCAAATTTCTTAAACCCATTCCACTTCTTTTCTTCTTTCTTTGGATTCATCCACCATTTCCATTCTTCTTCTTCTTCTTCTTAACACCCTCGCACACTCTCGCACCCCTAAATAATTTCTCAAAATTCATTTTTTTTTTGCTGCAAATCAATTTTCCTCCTAGTTCTTTTTGTTTTGCCATATTTGTTCTTTCAAAATCTCGATTTCGTGCGTACTCTTTGGTGATAGTGGGTATTGAAAAATGAAAAACTTCATTGATAAGCTTGATGAGCTTCAACAGTAACAAATGAGTTTTGTGAATTTATGAAATAAATTTAAAATTATATAGAGATTTGTTGGGTTTGTGTTTGTGAACCAATAGTGTAAAATTAAAGTCAAATAGGTAAGAATTCCACCCATTTAACATGAATTTGTGCTCAATTTGAGATAAAAATGGAGAAAATAATAAAATTTCCAGGGTATGCCTTTTATTTTTATTTTTATTTTATTTGTCTAATATTTAATTTCTTATGTGTCATTAAAAATGATGTGGAATCCTACGTGTAAATAAGTGTATCACACACACACATAGGATGAGGAAAGAGTTTAAAATTTGTGTTTCAGTGAGTTTAAGGATTTAGATAACAAAATTGTAAATATAAGAGTCCAACTTACAAATAAAGCCAAGCATAAGGGCCTATCAGGTCATTCCGCCTAAGAAAAATAGAAAATTTGAGTTAAAATTTATGAGTTCGAACAAATCCGTGTAAATAGCATATTAGCTCCGACCCTCGTAATGTGATAATTAATAGTTGCAAAGTTATTTACTCTCACTATCTTACATAAATATTTTATATCATGTATTAGATGAAGGAAAATCCAATTAATAAAGCCTTTTAGATTCTTGAATTTCTGGGTGAAAGAGGACTCGTTTATGGAGGTTATCAGGAATCATTGGAAGGCGGACTTTGAGGGGGACCCCTTTATTTTGTTTCATCATAAATTAAAGAGGGTAAAACGAGCGCTGACACAATGGAGCAAAGAAACCTTTGGCAATATTATCCAGGAAATTGTCACACTTGAGGAAATAATTAAGATACAGGAGATTGAGTTTGAAGTGAATCCAACGGGTGGAAATAGGGAAAAACTTCAAAAGACTCAGGCAGATTTGAAGAAGCAACTTCATAGAGAAGAGGAGTTCTGGAAACAAATATCTGGCATGGAATGGTTTAAGGAAGGGAAGAGAAATACCAAATTCTTTCACACCATAGTGAAGGGTAGAAGAAGCAGACTGAAGGTGACTAAAATTCAAAATGAAGAGGGTGTATGGATGGAAGATCAAGGGGACATTGCAGAAGCAACAATTAATTTTTATACACAACAATTTACAAGGCAAGATATTGAGGTAAATATGGAAACTTTCGAAGAGATGTTAGGTGAGCTTCCAGAGATAGTAAATAAAGAAAAGAGTGAAGAATTGCAGAGGATGCCAACTATAGAAGAAGTCAGAAACGCCGTAATGGGACTGAATAGGAACAGTGCAGCAGGTCCAGATGGTATGACAGGGGCCTTCTATCAAGACACGTGGGAAATTATTAATGAGGATGTGTATAATATGGTTAAGGCTTTCTTTTGTGGTGCTGAACTTCCTAGATTTATCACACACACAAATTTAGTTCTTATCCTGAAGAAAATGGTTTTGAACACTTTTTCAGACCTAAAACCTATCTCTTTAAGTAATTTTGCGAACAAGATAATTTCGCGAATTATAGATGAAAGAATTAATGTGGTGTTACCAGGTGTTATTTCTCGACAGCAAGCGGGATTTGTGCAGGGGAGAAGCATAGCAGAGAATGTGTTGTTGGTGCAGGAGATAATATCAGAAATTTGAAAAAGAGGAATAACACCCAACATGGTCATTAAATTGGATATGATGAAGGCCTTTGATAGAGTTGAATGGTTGTTTTTAACCAAGGTCCTAAGAAAGATGGGGTTTGGGGATAGACTCAATGATATGGTGTACAAACTAATTAGCAATAATTAGTATTCCATCCTTGTTAATGGTCAACCGAGAGGTTTCTTTAAATCCTCAAGGGGACTAAAGCAGGGGGACCCTGTCTCTCCAATTCTCTTTATTCTGGCGGTAGAAGTAATGTCAAGATCTCTTAATGCTTTGATGAGGAATAAAGAGTTCAAAAGATTTGGTAGGCATAGAGGAAGCCTCAAATTAAATCATTTGGCTTTTGCGGATGATATGATCATATTATGTAAGGCAGACGTGAGGACAATGAGAATGATAAGTGACACGTTGAAGAAATATGAAGAGGTTTCGGGGTTAAAGGTAAATAAAGATAAAAGTGCTGTATATCTGCATCATACAGTGCAAGGAGGTGAATCAGTGGTAGCAGAGGTGGCTACTGGAATTTTGAGACATGATTTTCCTTTTACATATTTGGGTTGTCCGATATTTTATAAAAGGAAACAAAAAGCTTACTATAAGCACATGATCCAAAGGATAGGAGGAAAGATACAGGGTTGGAAAGGCAAATTATTATCTTATGGGGGCAGAGCAATTTTGATAAAACATGTGCTTCAAAGTAGTCCAATTCACTGTTTATCAGTTATGAATCCTCTAAATAATGTTCTTAACCAGGTACAACAAATGCTAGCTCAATTTTTTTGGAGCAGTTGCATTGGAGGGAGAGGCCGACATTGGAGTAAATGGAGTAATCTGTGCCTACCAGAGAAAGAAGGAGGACTAGATTTCAGACTAATGCATGACTTATCTATGACATTGTTCTGTAAATTATGGTGGAATTTCAGAACCAAGAAAACGTTATGAAGTGAATACATGAGGAATAAATACTGTAGAAACAAGAGTCCTAATCTTGCTATGTGAAAAGTTGGAGGAAGAGGTTCCCAAGTTTGGAAGAAAATGTTGCAAGCAAGAGACCTCATAGAACATCAAATATTGTGGCAAATTAGAAAGAGATCAACATCTTTTTGGCATGATAACTGGACTGGACTGGGGGATTTGTATACCATTACTGGAGAAAATTTTGAATGGGATGACAATTATAAAAGGGTGGATGAGGTAGTTCATCAGGGAGAGTGGGATGTGCAGACTCTGATGTCAATCATTCACACTGAACTGGTTGAGTATATCATCGGCAATATCAAACCTCAAGAGGAAGGAATGAGGAAGATATACCATGTTGGATGTTGGAGACTAAAGGGAATTTCTCAGTCAAAACAGCTTGGAATTATATTAGACATAAGGAAGAACCTAATAGAATTCACAAATGGATATGGACAAAGGGAATCCCTTTCAAAATGGATTTTATGATGTGGAGGTTATGGAAATTTAAGGTACCAGTAGATGATAGATTGAGAAGATGGGGACTACAGGGTCCATCGAGATGCTGGTGCTGCGAAAATCCTGATCAAGAAACACTTACTCATGTGTTTCTCAGATCGAACATTGCAAACATGACATGGTCCTATTTTTGCTCTTGTGCAGGTCTATCTATAACAAGATTGCAGCTGAGGGAGGTGATAATGTTGTGGTGGGGAGCGAATGCCAAAAAAGACATGAAACCATACTATAGAGCTATTCCAACCTTTATAATATGGGAGTTGTGGAACAGGAGAAACAAAATGAAACACGAGAGGAAGAACATCTTGTTGGCTAGAATTATCCATAATGTTACTAGGAACATGTTCATGTTGATCAATGTGCGAAGACCTAAGATGATATTCTCGGGAAACTGGCCAATAATGTTAAAACAACTGGAGGGGTACTGTCCAAGTGTGAAGGTCACTCAGATAAAATAGGAATTTCCCTTAGAAAGATGGATAAAGTATAACACTGATGGAGCGTCAAGAGGTAACCCAGGTTTAAGTTCTTATGCATTTTGTTTAAGGGATGAGAAAGGGGACTTAATTCATGCAGAATGGGCTAGCATAAACAACACTACAAATACAGTGGCAGAAGCTAAAGCTATACTAGAAGTAAGTAAACACTGTAAGCAAACACTTTATAACAAGATCATCATTCAAACAGATTCTATGCTATTTTATAAAGTACTAGGGGGACAATGGGAATCACCATGGATAATCAGAGACATGATAGAGGAAATCAAGACAAATTTGGTAAACATACAACACATAGTCCAACATGTTATGAGGTAAGGAAATCAACTTGCGGACTATATAACAAATCAGGCAATAGAGTATGAAAATTGCATATATACAGGATTTGCGAGCCTAGAATCAAAGGGAAGAAGGATATTAAATAGTGATAAGATACAGAGCCCATATCTACGAATATCATCAAGGAGGGATAAGGGGGGATGAAAGGATACAACATAGATGTTTTACATTTACAAGATGTACATCAAATCTAGTAAATATTACAAGTATGAAATGCAAGATAGTCTTGTTTCTTGGATCGGAGTAAAACAGGAAGATGATGGACCAGAGTAAACCTTGCAAGTTGGTCAAGCATCATATACAAAAAGAAGACAAAGAAATCAGTAGTTTGAAGATGGAGTTGGAAAAAGAAGAAAGAAATGTGACTCACACAGTAAAGAAGCCCGCCCCTAGCAGAGAAGATCCACAAACAAAATATCACAAGCACAAGCCAGCGTATCAGAGAACACAATTGCGCCCCGAACGAGTTAGATTCAATCAAGGAGGAGAACTGCGCAACAGACAGAAAGACAATTACTTATTATTGATAAATGAGCAACGAAGGAACAAGAGGCAAATCTTACAAATTGATTTCTCACTTTAGGAGAAGATGGAAAGATTTGTTAGATCATAGCAGGAGAAACGTAATTTAGATGTGGAGGTTTGTTGGTCACATGAGGAAGAAGCGGCGTTTAGAAAAACCTTGTCTAAAGGAAAATGTATTAGGAAACTAGGCTTTTTAGTTTGTTTTTTATTTTTTTCATTTTTGTCTAGTAGCTGGACCTGGGCAATAGGCCCAAGTGAGTTGTATGTTCTTTTCAATTAATAAAAGGACTGAAAATTTTACCAATAAATATATAAATTTAGCCAACTATATCTTGCTAGGATCTGACTCCCCTCTATTATCCTTTTCCTTCATTTCGTCAAGTGCACGTGTAGATGAGAGATATATGTTCTATTTACAATTTAAAGGTCAAGATTATATTATATTAACAACGGCAGAATAATCTGGAAGACCCTTGTACTTGACTCCATTTGTCACCTGGACTCTTCTACTCACGACTTTGCCAACTGAACACTTAAAGCTATTAAAACACACTATTTTAAACCCATTTGACCATTGACTAAGCAGCTTATGTGGTGTTTTTTGCTGAATCAGATCAAGAGAGTGGTTACACGCGTTTAAAAGCAAGTGAAGACAATTATTTAAATTTTAAAAAAAAATTGAAAGAAAAATATAACAATTGAAAAAAACCTCATTCCCAATATGTTGTACTTTCTTCTTCTTCCTCCTTATAATTTCACCCAACCCCCACCATCACCACACACATCTTCTTCAATTTCTTTCAATACTGTTACACACAATTCTTCCTCTTTCTCTTCTCATATGCTACCTATCATTTGAGAGTTCTATAATGATTGGGAAAATGATATTTATTTAGATTTGGGTAAAAGAGAGGGGGGAAAAGAGGTTCTAAATTGTGAAATAGATGCGAATTTTAGATAGGTTTTTGAAAAACATATGTTTGAGATTCTTTCTAAATATAAGGCAATTTTATTGAGAGCATTTTTGAAGAGTTTTCTATAATGACCCATTTTTGGTCTCCTTCTCTTTTTTCTATCATCCTCCATTTTAGTCACTTTATTTCTCACCACCATTAAAATAGCAAAATTTATAATAAAAAACATAACAAAGCTTTGATTATCTCTAATTCCTCTTCAACATAAAAAAATCACTAGAAAAGAAAAAAATGAATGACTAGTAGCAAAATAGATGAAAAATATGGGAAAAGAAGGAAAAATGGAAAGAAAGGATTTTGGAGATTAGTTTGAGATCTCTTTAAAAAAAATATTATTTGTAATAAAAAATAATGATGTGGCGATATATTTCTGATGTGGATAGTGAGGTGTTATCCACATCAGTGCGATTGGGAGACACACATGTTCAAAGGGGTTTAAAATATTGTGTTTTAATAACTTTAAGTGTTCAATTGACAAAACCGTGAGTAAAAGGGTGCAGGTGACTTGTCAAGTACAAGGGTCTCCCAAGTCATTCCGCCTATTAACAGCTATCATAACCACAGTTAAGTCAACTAATTTTAGAAAATTAATCTCTAAATTTAGTAAGAATTACAATATATTCCATACAAAATTTGATATTTATTAATATCATTAATTTGTTCTTATATATATATATATATATAAGATGAAATTAGTGATATTAATAAATATCAAAATTTTATATGAAATATATTGTAATTCTTATCAAATTTGGAGAGTAGTTTTCTAAAATTAGTTGACTTAACTATGATTATAATGTTTGTTAATATAATATAATATTGACCTTTAAACTTTAAATAAGACATATGTCTTTCATCTAGACGTGCACTTGACAAAATGAAGGAAATAAATAATGGAGGGAAGCCGAATCCTATGTCAAAGCGAAAAACTAATTCGGTCATTATGTGTGCTTGCAGCGAAGGTTCATCTTACCTTTTCCTTCATCTTCTTCTTCTTCTTCTCTCTCTCTTATTTTTTAATTTCTATGTGGTGGTTATAATTATTATTTTTAAAATAGTAGTCTTAAATAGATAATATTTAGAAAATAATTTATGGGTTTGATTAAATTCCATAATTTTGATTAAAATATTATATTTTTTAAATTTTTTTATTTAATATATAAAATTATTAATTTAAAACTCAATAATTTAAATGGTTAGAATTCAGAATCCCCAAATTTAATATTCTGAGTTTCTGACTCCATCTCTACTTGTGGTCTTAATATATCATGTGGGATATCTTCTTTAAAGAAATGTGGGACGAGGAGTAAATCGTACGACATTATTTAGTGACCTAGCCAATTGATCAGATATTGTCATCCCACATTGAATGTAGCATAGAAATAACATTAAAATTATAGTAAAACAAATTTCAAGTCTTCTTATAAACCGAAAAAAACCCCAACCAAATATAGTATCAAGAAATCATATGCATTATATTTGAGGATTATTTTTCTTCGTCATAGTCGTTTGGTTCGTGATATTGAATCATAATGTTCTGAGTTTCTGACTCTATCTCTGCTTGTGGTCTTAATATATCATGTGGGATATCTTTAAAAAATATGAGATTATACTTTGTTGTTAGTGCTGAAATCATGATACGATGAGTAAATCGTACGACATTATTTAGTGACATAGCCAATTGATCAGAGATTGTCATCCCACTTTAAATGTGGCATAGAAATAGCATTAAAATTATAATAAAATTAATTTCAAGTCTTCTTATATATGGGAAAAAATACCCAACCAAATATAGTATCAAGAAATCATACGCATTATATTTCAAAATTATTTTTCTGTGTCATAGTAATTTGGTTCGTGAACGATTTATATTGAAACATAATGTGTAAATATAATATGGGAATTACATTTTGACGAAATTGTTTAATGAATATATTTTTTACAAAGTGTAATAAAATTTATGTCATGTTTGAGTAATTCTTTTCCAAATAGAATGACTTATCTTGGACGGAAGGTCAGCTTACCGTACACATCACTTGACCATAGTAGTTAAGTATAAACATGTATACAAAAAGCACATACTTGCACTTAATTAGATTGGTATATTTATTCTTACTTTTACTTTTCAATCGTTGAGAAACAAACTTATTCACATCAAATGTTTATACAAATTAATTCAATTTACTATATTCAACTGGTTTAATGAATTAAGAATATGCATTAATACTTAACTATAGTTAAGAAGTGATAGAAGTATATGAAACGAAGACATATCTTACGTTAATTGCTTTGATGTAAATCATCCGATGTAATATGTAAATTTTACCGTGTTTTCAAGCATAACATCCCCTTTACTCTTTTCGTATAGTAAAAAATGATTTAAAATTATTTTATCTCGCTAATTATCGATTTTAGGGATTAAAAATCTTTTTCTTCCCGTTTGATAAAATAACCATGCCAAAGAAATCATATGTTTTCAACAACCTTTTTACCACATAAATTTGTTACATATCTATTCTATGCTAGGATAGAATTAACATAATTCTCAACTTAAAATTACTTTTAGGTAATTAAGGGTCAGAGGATAAAGATAATATCGATCCCCTACTGATAGCCTGGCTAATTAGTTTATAATTTAAAATAGAGAGGTATTAAAACAGTTGAACTTGGTGCAAATTACTAGTTTCGCCTTCTAACTGTTGATAACCTTAGCTCCACTTCACTAACTAAACTTATATACACCCTTGATCTGCCACATGACTTAATAAGTAGTTTTAAACTCTTGTAGCAGGACTCTTAATAAAAAGTTGAGAGAAGTATTGAAAATACTCCTAAATTTGGCGAGAATTATTTAGGGATGTATTTCACTCGTGTTACAAGATCGAGGGTGTATTTGTAAACTTATGGAGTAATCACCATCTAGAAGATGCAAAAGGATCAGGAAGAAGAAGATACCGAGAGAATTATATAAGAAAGAGAACTCATTCTCATTAAGCTGAAAGCATCTAAAAATATCTTTACAATGCTATGTCTTTATAAAGGAAAGTTATTGTGCTAACTAACTTTAACAACTTTCTAACCTTCTAACTGATTCTAGAATAATTATCTTGTGAACTGCTCTAATCCTAGCTGTCATAAATCTAACCAACACCCCTCCTCAAGCTGATGGTTGAAACGGGTTCTTCAATCCCAGCTTGGAAACTAAGTATTCATGTGGCAGTCTTTCCAAGCCCTTAGTGAGAAGATCAGCTAGTTGTTCTTTTGTCGATACATGCAGTGTTTGAACCAGCACTTGAACAATTTTTTCTCTTACAAAATGACAGTCAATATCAATGTGTTTAGTTCTTTCATGAAATATTGGATTAGCAGCAATTTGGATTGCAGCTTTGCTATCACAAAACAAATGTACAGGCTGCTTAATGTTAACTCCTAGCTCTTTGTATAACCCTTCCAGCCAGGTTATTTCAGCAACTGTAGATGCCATGGCTCTGAACTCAGCCTCTGCAGAGCTCCTTGCTACTGTCTCCTGTTTCTTGGACTTCCAGGATACTAAGGCATCACCAAACTTCA